CTATCTATCTATCTATCTATCTATCTATCTATCTATCTATCTATCTATCTATCTATCTATCTATCTATCTATCTATCTATCTCAGGTCTTTCAGTTTATTTTCCTCTGGGTGTGACATGATAAAGAAAAAAAAAACAACAAACAGAAGATTCTTGGATAAAACAGCTTTGTTTCTGCATTTCTGATCATTTAATGTTTGTAATAATGAAAAAAAAAAGTAAAAAAAAAAAAGCACATTCCACTAAGAGGCTCCTGTTAACAACTTTACTTTAAATCATCCACGCTGTGCTAATGATTAGAAATAGAACGAATAAAAACACCCATTAGATTGAAAGAAAAACTTGAAGTAAAAAGTATTTATAAAACTGTTTTCCAGACTACAGGAGGTCTTAAAATAAAGGTCTTTCAGATTAAATAGGAATTATTCTCTGAAAACTATTTTACTGTATAAATTGGTTGTAAGTATATTGAAAAACTTACTTTTCTAGTTCACAAATTTTATGCCAACAAGATGAAGTTTTAAGGTATTTTGTTTAAAAATAAAGCTATTAACAATAAAACTGTATGACATAATTTAACCTTTTAAATGATTAAAAGAAGTAGAAGGATTTTTTTACTGATGTAGTTCTATTTGAAAACAGAATGTATATTTATATAGCAGTTTATGTTTTACCACAGATTAACTACTACTACTACTATGAACATAAAAATAAAGGAAATGCATTGTGTAAATACTTCCCCTAAAATGTATTAGAAAATTAATTGAATATTAAATTCAAAAATGATTTTACTATCCGTTGTGGTAAAAATGTATGTTCTTTTCTTGCACAAAAAAACTTTTAAATTAAATGTAAATAGAATCTAAACCCAAAAGATGAACCTTTTGCTCTATAATGCATGTGATTTTGTGTGATACTGAAGTGATTTTATTATCTAAAGTCATAAGATGATGTTTTTGTCCGTCACATTTCCACTAGGTGGTGCTGTAATATCTGTTAGTTTGTTGATTTCTTTTCCTGTAAATGTGGTTTTGTTAAACCTACAGATTCATGTTTTTTGTGTGTGTCTCATGTATGATATCTAGATAAACAGTCTGAGAATATAAACATCAGAAAAACAGTGTCTGGAGAGTCAAATGTTCAATGTACAGGATAAGGTTTATTTTTGCTTACATCAGCGTTTTAATGTTTAGGTGATATCCTGTGTTTTTATTCTGCCTTTTCATGTCATTTTTTTGGTATTTTTGATATTTATGGACTTTCTCACTTCTGAAGATTAACCAAGTCAAAATCTGAAGAACAGTATTTATTTTAATTACATTCATGCTGTCTATCCTTTTCATTTCCACCTTTTCTCGCTTTTTTGCCTACACTTCGCCTACTCCCATTGACACTTAAGTTGATTACACTGTTGTTATCAAGTGTCGCTGATGTAACCCTCTATAGTCTGATACTTAATAAGTGCTCTGCTTGGGTGATCTATGTAGAGTCGATA